ATCTGTTCTACCTTCCCGACAAAACCGAAACCAAAACACTGATAGACGAAGCTGCCAAAATGAGTGAGTGGCGCTATATCAAACATCGAGCTACCTCGTTTCTAGGCTCTGAGGGCTGCGCTTGCCATAGCAACACACGTCGCCAACAGAAGTTGAAAAATAGTATGCATAACTAACGCCGCTGCAATCGTTCTTATAAAAGGTTCATTTGGGGTACGCCTTCTGGAGTTTGTCGGATGCACGCGACATCGGTGCTTCGGTTTTGGTTCCGCCTGTAAATTGGTTAGAATTCGATAACTCTAGAAAAATTACTGGTGACTCCCAGGTTACCTAATTAGCTCTATTTTTTAACTTTATCTTTAATTATTTCAACTTCCTTATATATGTTGTTGTCTGGAAATCTGCCGACACACACACAAGCACATATATGAAAGAGGCGAGCAAATGTCGCGTTCCCCTTGATCTTGAGTATCTGCAGGCACATTTCTTAAAACCCCAATATATATTACAACCCTTTTGTACCGCAATAGTGCGCCAGCAAGCTTCCCTGCCTTTCCTTGCATCTTTATCTCTCTCAATCTTGACACGCGAAGCATCCCTCGACAACAGATTGATCTGAAAGCGTGCAGCTGACAATGGGTGCATGAAATAATTTCTTTAATAAACAAGAAGAGACATTTATTCGTTGGTGTAACCTAAAAGTGGTTTCCATCTCATCATTTATCTTGGAACTGCAAACCGACGCGCGCAACGCGCGTATTCTATTGCGGTCTATGGCGGTTCCACACCGTTTTTCCTCTAGCAATATGGCCGCTAGCGGCTTCACTTGCTCCCGTTGGACTTGGCGGTGGCCAGGATTGCCCTCCAGAGGCAACGTTACTAGATACTTCTAGTAACGTTGCTCCAGAGCATGACCTACTACACTCCTGACCTGTTCAGATAGCGGGGTTCCTATGGGAGCGCGTGTCCCCGCTCTCGTTCAATCGCTCGCCGTAGGTGGCGCTACCTATAACCTGTTCGTCTGCTTCTTTACGGTTGTTTTGTAGGCGCTGGTATAAGAATGCCTGCTTTCTGTGGTGAACTGTCGGCATATATGTGACTATTTCTTCCCATACATTGCTGGTCAAGTAAGCTGTTCAGTGCGCTTAAGAATTTATAGCACACTGGTTGACAAACGTGGAAACCCGTGGATTTACATGATTTTGGACAGCCTATGCGTTGTCGCGTGCATTTTATTGCAAAAAAAATTCTGAATGTCTTTTAGTATTATTATTTCTGGATATTTCTAAATTGTGGATCATAAATTCGCACTACGAGTGCTTTGTTGGTTAAAATTTGACTACAAAGAGTGAAGGTGACGTCAGCGAACAGGTGCTGCCTAGCGCCACGCCGCTCGTAGGTGACGGCCCTAGCGGCAGAAGGTATGAACTAGAACGTGGGCGCTGGAAGAGGTGCTCTCTGGGCAGGTCAGGAGTGTAGTAGGTCATGCTCCAGAGGTTCGTCCTTACGAAACTCTCGGAAGCTGCGCGCGCATTGGTTCGGGCGTGATTTCGTCAGCAAACATGGCTGCGCCTATGACGGTGCAGAAGGCAGCTGCCAGGCGATTGTTGGCTGAGACAATCTTCGTCGTAAAAAACGCCTTCCGATCATTTGGAGGCACGCGAATAACCTTCGAGTGTGCCGAAAAACGCTGTGAGCATGCCTTTATCTACGCTGCACTTTAGTGCAGTCGGCAGGGTTGGTCCGTTTTCAACGCTTGCAGGAGACTCGCAGAATTGGACAGTCGTATCCAGTGAATATTAAGAAGACGTCGAGAAGCTGGTCTCCGTAAGTTCTCTTTGCACTTCCGATTAGAGCCATAAAATGATTGTTTACGAGACCGTCGGTGCAGTCAAGTTCGCGAACGATGCTCGGGTTGGCGCCACTTCGGTTACTGCGCTACCCAGCGAGAGCTGCACAGTGCCTTTAGTGCACTGTGCATAAAGACATGGTGTCATAAAGACATGGTTAAAAAGGCTGTAAAGTGTTCAGGGTGGGGGGTGAGTTTGAAAATTAACCCAAGTGCAGAAGCAAATGGAGGGAAGGCCGATGCGAAGTGTCAATGTGAGGTCGAGGAAAAAATGGAGAAAACGATGACTGCCCAGAGTGAACTGCTGATGAGAACCAGCGAGCTGCAGTCTGCGTTGGCGACAGAGAAAGAAAAAAAAAAAAAAACGAGGCTATGGGATAAAGGCTCAGGTCCGCCAAGGAGGCACTAGCGAAGGTGAACGAAGCAGCGGCCGACGGAGAGAACGGTAGAGCACCGGCAACCAGAACGGCGGAGAAGAAAAATCAAGCAAATTCGGAAAAGACTGGTTCAGTTGGTTCAATAGTCGCAAAACCCAGAGAGGGGACAAAGCAGCCGGCGTCACAGGTGCAAGTAACCCCCAGGTGCAGGACGCTCCAGCTGAAAAGTCACAGCATGTGATAATCGCCGGGGACTCGAATTTAAATCGATGCGAAGAAGCAATCAAGAGAGGGTAAGAGGTGACAAGAGGGTTGCAGTAGGGGTGTTCCCAGGACGCAAGCTGGAAGCAGTCGTGAGGCAAGCGAACGCAAAACTCAAAACTACAGCTGATTGACGAAACCTCGTGATGATTTCAGGAGGTTTAAACGATGTCTTAATTGAAGATACGGCAGGACTAGCGACCACACTGGCGAAAGGGGTCGATGACATGCGCGCCACTTCTCAGGTACAGGTAGTGATATGCACGATACCGGAGGTACCGGTGCTTGACGACAACCTACAAAGAGCGGTTGTCAACGCAAACCGAGAGATATGGCGGATGAGTCGAGAGAAAGGCTTTGAGGTGGTGGAAATAAACTGAGAGGTGCATAGGTGGAGTGGTTTTCAACGAGACAGAATTCACTTCGATGGGCGGCTAAGTCATGAGGTGGGTGCAGGACGCGCAGTAACTTTTTTGGGGGGGCGCGTGGGCCCTTCAGGGTGCAGGATGGCTAGTAACGAGGAAAACAACCAGGGAGACTCTTTGACAGGTGGTATGAACAGATACGATTCCAAAGTGGCACCAGTGTTTAAGATAGGTAGAGTCCGGGGCAGAAATAGACGTAGCCACGAGCGCCGAGCCAATTCAGACATAGGGTATATTAACATGCAGGGTGGTAGGAACAGGCTGTAGTGGGAAGAGATAGAAGAACAGCTAAGGGAAGAGAGGCCGATGGTATACGGTTTTGTAGAACCACATCTAAGGGACATGGAACAACCTCCGAACAATCCGGACTACGCCTGGGAATATTGTAGTAGAACAGAAGGCAGCAGAAAGGGGGGTGGTGTTGGGGCACTCATTCATAAAAGTACAGACTGGCAAAGGGTCAAGCAGGAGTGCAAGGAACATTTATGGCTAAAAGGGAAAATGGTAGGGCAAACGGCACTCCTTGATTTTGTGTACTTGTGGACGGGAGCAAAGGCCAGAGAGGAAAACCAGGCAATGGTAGAGTGTATATCAAAGGACGTTTGAGGAGTTAGGAGGAGAGTGCGAGATAACTATGCTAGGAGATATGAATGCGACATAGAAGATATAGATGGGTATACCGACCCGACAGGCAAAATGATCATGATAGTGTGAAGGCCTCGATGTATCATTGCAACAGTAACGAGAAGTGTAAGCGCAAATAACTTGTGAGGTAGGAAGGCGCACCCGACATAAAAAAAAAAAAAAGAGTACGCACTGGTGGTTTAACTTTATCTTTACATTATTTCAACTTCCTTACTATATGTTGTTTGTCTGGAAATCTGCGACACACACACAAGCACATATATGAAAGAGGCGAGCCAAATGTCGCGTTCCCCTTTGATCTTGAGTATCTGCAGGCACATTTCTTAAAACCCCAATATATATTACAACCCTTTTGTACCGCAATAGTGCGCCAGCAAGCTTCCCTGCCTTTCCTTGCATCTTTATCTCTCTCAATCTTGACACGCGAAGCATCCCTCGACAACAGATTGATCTGAAAGCGTGCAGCTGACAATGGGTGCATGAAAATAATTTCTTTAATAAACAAGAAGAGACATTTATTCGTTGGTGTAACCTAAAGTGGTTTCCATATCATCATTATCTTGGAACTGCAAACCGACGCGCGCAACGCGCGTATTCTATTGCGGTCTTATGGCGGTTCCACACCGTTTTTCCTCTAGCAATATGGCCGCTAGCGGCTTCACTTGCTCCCGTTGGACTTGGCGGTGGCCAGGATTGCCCTCCAGAGGCAACGTTACTAGATACTTCTAGTAACGTTGCTCCAGAGCATGACCTACTACACTCCTGACCTGTTCAGATAGCGGGGTTCCTATGGGAGCGCGTGTCCCCGCTCTCGTTCAATCGCTCGCCGTAGGTGGCGCTACCTATAACCTGTTCGTCTGCTTCTTTACGGTTGTTTTGTAGGCGCTGGTATAAGAATGCCTGCTTTCTGTGGTGAACTGTCGGCATATATGTGACTATTTCTTCCCATACATTGCTGGTCAAGTAAGCTGTTCAGTGCGCTTAAGAATTTATAGCACACTGGTTGACAAACGTGGAAACCCGTGGATTTACATGATTTTGGACAGCCTATGCGTTGTCGCGTGCATTTTATTGCAAAAAAAATTCTGAATGTCTTTTAGTATTATTATTTCTGGATATTTCTAAATTGTGGATCATAAATTCGCACTACGAGTGCTTTGTTGGTTAAAATTTGACTACAAAGAGTGAAGGTGACGTCAGCGAACAGGTGCTGCCTAGCGCCACGCCGCTCGTAGGTGACGGCCCTAGCGGCAGAAGGTATGAACTAGAACGTGGGCGCTGGAAGAGGTGCTCTCTGGGCAGGTCAGGAGTGTAGTAGGTCATGCTCCAGAGGTTCGTCCTTACGAAACTCTCGGAAGCTGCGCGCGCATTGGTTCGGGCGTGATTTCGTCAGCAAACATGGCTGCGCCTATGACGGTGCAGAAGGCAGCTGCCAGGCGATTGTTGGCTGAGACAATCTTCGTCGTAAAAAACGCCTTCCGATCATTTGGAGGCACGCGAATAACCTTCGAGTGTGCCGAAAAACGCTGTGAGCATGCCTTTATCTACGCTGCACTTTAGTGCAGTCGGCAGGGTTGGTCCGTTTTCAACGCTTGCAGGAGACTCGCAGAATTGGACAGTCGTATCCAGTGAATATTAAGAAGACGTCGAGAAGCTGGTCTCCGTAAGTTCTCTTTGCACTTCCGATTAGAGCCATAAAATGATTGTTTACGAGACCGTCGGTGCAGTCAAGTTCGCGAACGATGCTCGGGTTGGCGCCACTTCGGTTACTGCGCTACCCAGCGAGAGCTGCACAGTGCCTTTAGTGCACTGTGCATAAAGACATGGTGTCATAAAGACATGGTTAAAAAGGCTGTAAAGTGTTCAGGGTGGGGGGTGAGTTTGAAAATTAACCCAAGTGCAGAAGCAAATGGAGGGAAGGCCGATGCGAAGTGTCAATGTGAGGTCGAGGAAAAAATGGAGAAAACGATGACTGCCCAGAGTGAACTGCTGATGAGAACCAGCGAGCTGCAGTCTGCGTTGGCGACAGAGAAAGAAAAAAAAAAAAAACGAGGGCTATGGGATAAAGGCTCAGGTCCGCCAAGGAGGCACTAGCGAAGGTGAACGAAGCAGCGGCCGACGGAGAGAACGGTAGAGCACCGGCAACCAGAACGGCGGAGAAGAAAAATCAAGCAAATTCGGAAAAGACTGGTTCAGTTGGTTCAATAGTCGCAAAACCCAGAGAGGGGACAAAGCAGCCGGCGTCACAGGTGCAAGTAACCCCCAGGTGCAGGACGCTCCAGCTGAAAAGTCACAGCATGTGATAATCGCCGGGGACTCGAATTTAAATCGATGCGAAGAAGCAATCAAAGAGAGGGTAAGAGGTGACAAGAGGGTTGCAGTAGGGGTGTTCCCAGGACGCAAGCTGGAAGCAGTCGTGAGGCAAGCGAACGCAAAACTCAAAACTACAGCTGATTGACGAAACCTCGTGATGATTTCAGGAGGTTTAAACGATGTCTTAATTGAAGATACGGCAGGACTAGCGACCACACTGGCGAAAGGGGTCGATGACATGCGCGCCACTTCTCAGGTACAGGTAGTGATATGCACGATACCGGAGGTACCGGTGCTTGACGACAACCTACAAAGAGCGGTTGTCAACGCAAACCGAGAGATATGGCGGATGAGTCGAGAGAAAGGCTTTGAGGTGGTGGAAATAAACTGAGAGGTGCATAGGTGGAGTGGTTTTCAACGAGACAGAATTCACTTCGATGGGCGGCTAAGTCATGAGGTGGGTGCAGGACGCGCAGTAACTTTTTTGGGGGGCGCGTGGGCCCTTCAGGGTGCAGGATGGCTAGTAACGAGGAAAACAACCAGGGAGACTCTTTGACAGGTGGTATGAACAGATACGATTCCAAAGTGGCACCAGTGTTTAAGATAGGTAGAGTCCGGGGCAGAAATAGACGTAGCCACGAGCGCCGAGCCAATTCAGACATAGGGTATATTAACATGCAGGGTGGTAGGAACAGGCTGTAGTGGGAAGAGATAGAAGAACAGCTAAGGGAAGAGAGGCCGATGGTATACGGTTTTGTAGAACCACATCTAAGGGACATGGAACAACCTCCGAACAATCCGGACTACGCCTGGGAATATTGTAGTAGAACAGAAGGCAGCAGAAAGGGGGGTGGTGTTGGGGCACTCATTCATAAAAGTACAGACTGGCAAAGGGTCAAGCAGGAGTGCAAGGAACATTTATGGCTAAAAGGGAAAATGGTAGGGCAAACGGCACTCCTTGATTTTGTGTACTTGTGGACGGGAGCAAAGGCCAGAGAGGAAAACCAGGCAATGGTAGAGTGTATATCAAAGGACGTTGAGGAGTTAGGAGGAGAGTGCGAGATAACTATGCTAGGAGATATGAATGCGCACATAGAAGATATAGATGGGTATACCGCCCCGACAGGCAAAATGATCATGGATATGTGTGAAAGGCTCGATGTGATCATTTGCAACAGTACCGAGAAGTGTGAAGCGCAAATAACATGGGAGGTAGGAAGGCTGCACCCGACGATAGATTACGCACTGGTGTCACATAGGATGTATGATAATCTCAGGGGCATGCACATAGATGAAGGTGGCTCCGGAAGTCTGGTTAGTGATCACAAATGTATAAAGCTAAGTTTTGGAGAAGCAGGGAAAGTGGGAAGGAGACAAGATGAGCAACTACAGGAAAATTTTTATTCAGAAAGGCAAATAGAAATAGCTACTAAACAAATTGAGAAAGTAATCAGTGAGATAATAAAACAGTGTGGACATACACAAATCTAGTTAGACTGTTTGAGCTAGAGCTTGCTAAGGCACGTGACAAGTCACCCCGAAGAAAAAGACACAAACCCAAGAGTTCGTGGGATGAGGAAGTTAAGAGAGCCATAGCAAAACGCCAGGAAGCCTCTAGGGAACACAGAGATGCTAAGCAGCGGGGTGAACTGACAGATTATGTTGAAAGAAAATAGGAAATCTTTCTAAGCTGTAGAAGGGATGCATCCCTTGTGATCAATGAAAAGATTAGAAGAAATGGGGCTGAGTGGCTGGCAGAAGTACATAAAAAAAGATAGAAAGGCAGCTGCGAAATTTTGGAATCCTCTAAACTCCCTAAAAAAGGAGATGAGCCTAGAGCAGAGGTTTATAACTACAGCTCAATGTGCTAGGCCAGAAAGGGATGAAGCTATTGAATATATAAGAACAAGGGTGACAGAAAAATTTAAACAAATAAGTGCTTTATGCACCATAATAGACAGAAGATGAATCAAGTGGCGCAATTGCTTCATTTTCACAACGAGAGTGGGAAAGGGCTGAGAAGAGGGTTCCTAGTAGTACATCAACAGGCCCAGATGGCTTTACAATTATGCTGATAAAGACATTAGGTCCGAAGTCTAAGCAGGCTGTGAGAGAGGCAGTGAGCAAAATAATAATCGGTGGTGAAGTCCCCGATGGATGGAAACTTAGCAGGATGAGCTTGACCTGTAAAGGAAAGGGGGACAAAGATGACATAAACAACTACCGTCCTATAACAGTGACATCAGTGGTCTACAGGCTGGCGATGCAGATTATAAAAGAAAGGCTGCAGGCATGGATAGAGGATGAGGGGGTGGTGCTGGGCGAACTACAGAATGGGTTTCGGAAACACAGGAGGTTAGAAGACAATCTGTTCTCACTTACGCAGTGCATCTAAATAGCAGAAAAGGAACACAGGGCCCTGTGGCTACCATTTTTGGATATCAAGGGAGTGTACGATAGCGTGGTTTAAGAGGCCTTGTGGGGAATATTGGACACACTAGGTGTGGAAGATAGAGTCACTAATCTTTTAAAGGATATCTATAAAGGTAACAAGGCAGTTATCAAGTGGGAAAAACAGGTATCCAAGCCTGCAGAGGTAAAACGGGAGCTTAGGCAGGGGTGTCCTCTGTTGCCCTTGTTATTCATGATGTACCTACAAGGATTAGAGGCCAAATTAGAGGGAAGTGGACTGGGCTTCAACCTCTCTTTTGGCAAACAAGGAAAACTCATTGAACAGGCACTACCAGCATTAATGTACACGAATGATATAGTGCTAATGGCCCACAACAAGGAAGATTTGCAGAGATTGATGGACATCTGCGGTAATGAGGGAGATAGGTTAGATTTCAGATTCAGTAAGGAAAAATCAAGTCATGATTTTTAATGATGATGAAGGTAGTGAGCTTAGAATACAGGAGGTCACGCTAGAGATAATAGATAAATACAAATATCTGGGCGTATGGATAAGCAATGGGACCGAGTACCTAAGGGAACACGAAATATATGTGACGACTAAAGGTAACAGGAATGCAGCGGTGAGGAAAAACAGGGCACTGTGGAATTACAATAGGTATGATGTTGTGAGAGGAATATGGAAGGGGATCTTGGTTCCTGGTCTGACGCTCGGCAATGTGGTCTGGTGCATGAGATCAGAAGTTCAAGCAAGATTAGAAACTAAGCAACGTGGAATAGGTAGGCTTGCCTTAGGGGCTCACGGGAATACACCAAATCAAGGAGTACAAGGTGATAAGGGATGGACATCATTTGAGGGCAGGGAAGCTTGCAGCAAGATAAAATTTGAGAAGCGATTGAGAGAAATGGGGGAGGAGCGTTGGGCTAGGAAGGTATTCAGCTACTTGTACATGAAAAATGTTCATACAAAATGGAGGTAGCTAACTAGAAAATTGACTGGTAAATACTTAGAAAACAGCAGGGGGCCAAAGTAAAAAGAATTATCGGTTAAGAAGAAGGTGAAGGAAGCTGAGACCGATATGTGTAGAATCGGCATGATTAAAAAGTCCGCACTAAAGATCTATCGAACTTTTAAGCAGGAAATTGCCAAGAAAAGGATCTATGATAATACTTTGTTTGAGGCCAGGACGGGATTATTGCGAACCAAGACATATCGGGCCTAATACGAAGGGGTTGACACGGTATGCAGTGCGTGTGGAGAGGAAGAGGAAACTGCCGAGCACTTGTTAATGTTCTGTAAAGGGCTTCACCCTATAGTTAAGTATGATGGCGCAGAGTTTTTCAAAGCACTGGGGTTAGGGACAGGGATGGCAAAATAGACTTTAAGCGGGTAGAATTAACAAGAAGGAGGTTATCTGAATGGTGGCTGAAGTCAAGGCACGAGTGAAAATTAAACCCTTCACTGCAAAGTACAAGTCCTCAACCTCGCTATTTAAAGGAAAAAAAAAAATAAATCTAGTTTTTGGTTCACTAAGTATTACGGCTTGGTGGCGTTAGCCACCGCCCGGTCTAAAGGGTACAGCCATATCAATCCATCCAGTGCGCATAGACTTTAGTGGAAATAATGTAATAAAAAATAAGGACAATTCAACTGAAACCCACAGCTTCGAGCATTAGTCGAAAGCAATAAAATAATAATAAAGTATGCACGCGTTTATTGAGGGTTCACTGCAAAAGTGCCGTGTATTTTGGTGAAGGCATGTGTGAATCTTTACGATCGAGTGTCCAGCGTGAGCTTCATGTTGCAAATCACTACAGTTAGTGTAAAAGAGACTGCAGTGTGTGTCTCACATTAAATATTAACGTTTGGTGTTCCGTATGCAGGGGTGCGATAGCCGAATTACAGTTCAAAGCAATTTTTTGGATCAGCGAAATGTT